TGCAGCACCTCGCCCGAGTTTGCAGAGAGCCTGAAGCACTGTCTGGGGTTACCCTGTCTTTTCCCTTCCAGAAGGTGGTACAGATGCCTTCAGTGTCACCAGGGATGGATGTTCTTCCTCCAGCACGCACAGGACCAGGACAGGGGGAAGGGAGCATAGAGAGCACACCCAGTGTATATGAGGACAAGGGTTCTAACGTGTATGAGCGGCTTCCCTTGCCCGGGAGAAGGCTTCAGACTACTCATAGAACCACAGAAGGGTTTGGGTTGGAAGGGACCTTTCAAGCCCATCCAGTCCAACCCCCTGCAGCGAGCAGGGACATCTTCAATCACATCAGGTTGCTCAGAGCCCCGTCCAACCTGACCTTGAATGTTTCCAGGGATGGGGCTTCTACCACCCCTCTGGGCAACCTGGGCCAGGGTTTCACCACCCTCAGTGTAAAAACATCTTCCTTACATCTAGTCTGAATCTCCCCTCTTTTAGCTTAAAACCATCACCCCTTGTCCTGTCACTACAGGCCCTGCTAAAAAGTCTGTCCCCATCAAGTAGGACACCTTTTAAGTATTGAAATGCCACTAGAAGGTCTCCCTGGAGCCTTCCCTTCTCCAGGCTGAACAACCCCAACTCCCTCAGTGTGTCCTCACAGCAGAGCTGCTCCAATCCCTCTGAACATTTTTGTGGCCTCCTCTGGACTGGCTTCTGTGCTGGGAATGTTGGTTTAGGTGCAGAAGCCAAGGGAGTGGGCACTCAGCGAGGCCAGCAGGAAACATCAGGACAAACAGTGTAAATACTAAAATTTGCCATTCTCTGACTGCTGCAGGTCTCTCCTTGCTGAGAGGTTGTGGTCTCTAACCAGGCTTGTGTGCTTCACAGGAGGGAGCACTTTGCTTGTATTTAAGCCACTGAACGGAATTATCCCTGCTCCTGCCATTAACCTGTATTTCTCCATGAGACTTTATAGCTTTTGGTGGATCTTTGTTGCCGGTAGTTTACAAAGGTGCTTTGTGACCTACATGATGCACAGAAGGGTGAAAGCTCCTGCCAGGCTTTCTAGGTGGTTCTGCTAACGCAGTTTAACAGATGAACGTGACCTACATCTTTTCTGTCTGTGTTCTTCCAGTGCTCTTGAAGAAGCTTCAATTCTAGATGGCATTACAGCTGCCTCCCTCCCTTTGATATCTTACAATTTAAAGAGTTTGAACAGCTCAGATTTCTTACTGAACATCTAACAGAGGAACAAAGTTGGTTATATTCACCTTGAATCCATTTCGCTGTCGTGAAAATAACATGCAATATTGCCTGAGATGGTTTCCTACCCAAAGTCTTTCTGTTGCAGGGAGGTGAAATGAGTTGTAGTTGTCAATAAAACTCAGTTTGCTGGAAATCCTGAGAATGCTTGAAACAAGTTATTTCACCTGGACTTTCAGTTAACCTCCATAATTGCTATTTCCCTTTAAAAGCTCCACTGCTGGTTCTGCAGGCATTTTATTCTTTAATATTAAAAAAATTAATTTAATATTTTTTTTAGTATTAGAATTACTGAATTTACAAAGTATGGAAAAAGAATGAGCCAGCTGATGAGTGGATTAAGGAAAGATACCAGAAAAGAGAATATTTGGTGGCCCATAGTTAGAAGTCACCAAGTGTGGTGGTTTCACTTGGCTGGCAGCCACACACAGCCACTCGCTCGCTCTCACCCCCAACACAGGGGAATAGAGGACAGAATTGGAGGGGTGAGGGTAAGGAGACTTTTAGTTTGAAATAAGAACAATTTAAGAATTTAAATAAAACTTAAAATAATAATGATATTAAAATGATGATGATAATAATAATAATATATGAAAATGAGTGGTACACAGTGCAATTGCTCACCACCTGCTGACCAAGCCCAGCCCCTTCTCAGATAATGATCCTGGAGGACCAACAATTCCAAAACTGAAACTGCAATCCTAGAGGAGTGAGAGCCAGAGAGAGTCCCCCACACAAGAGAGCCCCTCATTAATATACTGAACATGACATTACATGATATGGAATATCCCATTTGAAGAGCCAAATGCCAATCTAGCTTATTCATTTAAATATTCCTTACCCCTCCCAGACCCTGCACCTGCAGACCAGCAAAACACAAAGTCCTTTGACTTCCGTGACAATTGAAAACATGGGTGTGTTATCAACATTCTTCTCATAACAAATCCCAGCTGAAACCAAACCCCAGCGCTGTTCTAGCTGCTAAAAAGAAACCCAGCTCTGTCCCAGCTAAAAAGCAGGACACCAAGTTTTCTGTTTTGCTAGGTCCACTCTCTGTCAGAGAAGGTTAGATGTCAGAGGACAGATGTAATTTGATAAACTCCATCCCCTGGGATTTGCCAGATCTCCTGTAAAAGAGCAGATTGTCACTGAACTTTGTGACAGTTTGTATGGACATTGAGAGGAAAATTGACCCTGGTTGCTTGAAATCCTACAAGCACCAATTGCAGCCTGCTACGTGGGTGTCTCCTGATGGTAAAAATACCTCCTGTTCTATCCTGGGTTTAATGTTGCTGTGAGCAGTTGTGAAGGCTTAGGAGGGCTGTCGAGCTGTGTTTGCTGATGGCTGGTTCTCCATCCTGCTAAGCTGCGTTGGGGCAGCCACACCGGGAGTTGGATGTCACCGAAGAGCCCAGCTGGCCATCCAGTGATGCAGTGGGGTGATAGCACCCATCTCCCTGGCAGGCACAGGAGGTGGATGGAGCAATGGGAGCTGTGCACAAGCAGGCTCGGGTCTTCTGCCTGCCAAGATAAAAGAGAAGGGGGTGAGCTTAGAAAGGACAGTAACAGCCCCAGTTAAACCTATTCAAGAGTTGGCAGCCGCCAACTTTTGCTGAAAGCTGAAATCTCGGAGGTGGAGGTATTTCCTTGCAGGATGCAAGGAGTCTTTCTTCCACACAAACTTGAGACATCATTGCCTGGGATCACTCCTGACACCCAGAAACTGTCTGTCCCACTGGCTGTCCACATGGGTGTCCCCTCTTGGACCACAGACATTTGCCAGTGGGCCAAGGCTTTTACTCTTTTAAAATCCACTGAATCATGGAATATCCTGTGCTTTTGGAGCCTGTTGGGAAGTTTTTCTTTGCCATCACAAGATTACTAAACACTGCTTTTGGAAAAGCAGTTGGGACTTTTTGACATCCGAGTTGTAAGGGAAGTTGAACCAAGTCAGTGGGTCGGATGCGTTTCCCAGCAGATACTCTTCAATTCCCTCCATGATTTCAAAGATAGTTTGAAAGCAACTAAGCTCAGATAAAGGAAATGAGAGAATAACTGAGAGTATTACAAGGCTGTTGATTTCCCTAGACAACTTTGTGGTAATTTTTTAGGCATTTAAGAGATTTTCTTCTAGGCATTTTTTCTTTTAGGCATTTAAGAGATTTTCCTTTCCCTTAAATTTACATTGTTCTTAAAATATACAGCATGGAAAATGCAATATTGGAGTAATAGAAAACCCTGCAGTTCTGCCATCTCATCACACTCCCAGGACCACTGTTTGCTTAATTCAGTAACAAGTTAAAGGTGACAATAAAGTGAGGAGAAAAATGTCACTGGCCATTTTTTGAGGAGAGATGAGGTCAGGTTAGTTTCCTCCCATCTCCTGCTCATCTCAAATTTTTCCCAGTTAAGAAAAGCTCGGTTCTGTACCCGAAGGAAGGAGCTCCCTGTGCCCTTCCCCTTGTCCTGAGGCTCTTTCTGCACCCAGAGATGCTGTCACGGTGACTGCTTGTGGCTTCTCAGTTGTGAAGCACCGCTAATGAGAGCAATTTGTAATTATTTCTGATTGCCCTTGGGATCTCTGGGAAGGTTTGTAATTCTCCTGTGGCACTTTTCCCTAAACCTCCTTTCATTTCATTTGTAAGACTGTCCTATGCAGTTCAGCATCACTGGACTGGACTTTTCTTTTTAAAAAGGTCCTCTAGCTGTGGTGAGATGTGTTTTCAGAATGACTTTCATTAGGACAAGTGCCCCATGAAAAATAGCGTTGTATTGTCAGTTCAGAGCACATACCCTCAGCTGATGGGAAGTTGGGGTCTCGCCTGCCAATTGAGACATTTTTTTGTCAAGCCTAGGAAAAGTTATCACCCACCTTTCCATCCTGGGATTTAAAAGTTGCAGCTACATAAGCAACTTGCAAAAAAGTGCAAAAAATCCACCTGCACTAATCTTGGCCCAGGTTAGCTCTGCCCTGCGACCGGGCAGACACCTTTGGCAGGCAGTCAGGCTCACACAGTACTGTCAGGGAAGCTCAAGCAGGAAAATAACCGTACACACCACTGTGTGCTTTAACAGTTGCTTTAAAACAAAATGGACTTACCTCTACCCTGTTAAAGGAGCTGCCTGTTTTTCTTATCTGCTGCCAGGAGACCTTGTTCCCTTACATCAGAGCCAATGTGAAGGAATATCTGCGTGCTCACTGGGAGGAGGAGGAGTGTCAGCGGGACGTCGGACTTCTGAGGAAACAGGTTCGGTAACAGAGCTACAGCGTGTCTCTTGGGGCTTTCATGGCATGCCTGAGACTTCAGGTCACTCAGACTTCCCCAACACAAGCTGATCCCTCTCTTTGACCCCCACAGAGGCTGGTTGCCTTGATGGGCTGATTGTCCCCCACCCACATCCTGGGGTTGTGCTTGGGGAAGGGCTGTTGCTTGGTAGGCAGCAGCTCAGCTGCTTCCCTAAGCTCGCCTTGGTCTTCACGGCCACCGAGCAGGCATCAAACCCCAGCTTTTTAGCTTTGTGCCTGCACTGTGCCCTTCTCTTGCTGAATCCACCACTTGCAGCTTCCAAGCACCTGTTTGGGAAGCAGTGTGGAGGGATGGCAGAGTGCTTGTCCCACACAGGGCAGCATCTCCTGCCTCTGTACAGGGACACGGCATCAATTTGAGACCTGTGGCTGGCTGAAGCTGACAGATGCTTTTGCTTCTTTGCCTTAATATCAGTAATTAAACCCTTAAGCAAGCACAGTTGTCATTAGAGTATTTACAATACAGCTACAGTAGTGGTAATTGTTTGGGTTTGGGAAGTACAATCCAAGCAAGTGTTTCTAGACACTACTGAAGTCTGGATTTCCCATTGAGAAAAGCATTCAAACAACGTTGTAACCCTTCATGTGAAGAGCAGTGTCCTGCACAGAGGTACATCGATGCAGGTGTTAGGTTAGTTAGACCCCTTTCCTAAATTGAGATGTTGAGACTGCTCCACCTCTTCCCTCACCTCTTTTTTATTGTGGATGATTTCCAGGCTCAGGAAGACTCCAGCTTGGATGGGGTCGTGCCAATCCCTTTGGAGAGCGGAAGCGGGGAAGAGGAGCTGGAGCGGGTCATCCAGGCGGTCGTAGACAACGTGCACTGGCAGATGTCTCTGGACAGGAAGACCACAGCACTGAAGCAGCTGCAGGGTCACATGTGGAGAGCAGCCTATGCAACCGGGCACGTCAAAGGAGAGTGAGTAATTGTGTGTGTGAGTAATTGTCTGCCCTTTCCCTAGTGCAGGTATGGGGTGAATCTTTCCTAGACATCTGTTAGCAGAATAGCTGCATAAGGTATTCCTGGAAACAGCCCTACAAATGCAAATAGGATTACTACTGTTGCAAGTATTCAGATGAAATAATCAAAACTAAACAGAAGAATTGGGTTTGATTATGAAATAAAATCATGACACTACCTCAGTGGAGAAGCCAATACATTTACGATCAGTCGTGGCTTAAGCCAGGCCACTGCTGTCACGGAACCCACTGCAGACACTTCATATCAAACTTGATCATGCAGTGAAACACAAATCCATTGAGCTTAATCTTTGGATCTAGGGAACCAAAAGTTTACGGTAATCGCAGGACTGACCAAGTTGTCTCAGTCCCCACTGGGAAGACAGCAAGTGGGTGAGAGTGTTTCTCCTGAAGGAGAAGAGCAGGTACATGCTGGGGAACAGTCAGTTCTCCAGCCACCTGGGCAAGGTCCGTAAAGATGAGGTCTGAGAAACAGAAGGAGTGACACAGGGCGACTGTGCTCCCACGACTGGCAGAACATTCATCTGGGACAGCTCTTTTCTGCATTAAAAATTCAGAAAACATCTCAAGGTTTCTTTACAGAGATTTCCTGGTTATCCAAGAGACTGAGGCACAAGTAGGAATTTCTTACAGTTCTCCATCTTGCCTTTTTTTATCCCTGAATTGCACTCACATTTGGAACAAGCCTAAACAAGCCAGGGTTGCAGGGTCAGGTCCTTTCAGTTGTTTCCTCTTGCTTTGTCTCTTACCTGAGTGTTTCCTGCCTTTTCACTTCTTTTTGTCTTCAGGCTGCTCTTTATGTTTCACCCACAACACAAGGGTGCATAAGTAAGGACAACTGGAGTTAAGCCTGATCTTCTTATTTAGGTTGAGAGATACTTGGTTAAACTATGCATTCCAAGTTCCTAAGGAAGTAAAACAAACCTTTAAGTTCACAAAGTGTTTTGCCAAAGGAAGAATGAGGAAGTAGAAAAAGAGTTTACAGAAAAATGTAAACATCTACCAGAGAAAGCAACAAAACCCAAAAGCTAGTCAAGAGGGACAGCCATCCTGTTGGTTTTCTTTTAAAAAGAAAACCTTATTGAACTTCATGAAAGCCTTGTTGAAGTTCATGAGGTTTGCATGGGCCCACTTCTCCAGCCTGTCAAGGACTCTCTGGATGGCATCCTGTCCCTCCAGCGTGTCGACCAAACCACACAGCTTGGTGTCCTTGGCAAACGTGCTGAGAGTGCACTCAATCCCACTGTCCATGTCACCAGCAAAGATGTTAAACAGCACCGGTCCCTGTACCAACCCCTGAGGGATGCCACTCATCAACAGTCTCCACTTGGACATTGAGCCTGTCTCTTTGAGTGTGACCATCCAGCCAATTCCTTATGCCCTGAGTGGTCCATCTGTACAGTCCATGTCTCTCCAACTTAAAGACAAGGATGTCATGTGGGACAGTGCCAAATGCCTTGCATGAGTCCTTGCACATGGGTTATTGAGGGACTTATTGTCAGCCTCACTTTGTCCCTCTTGAGCATTCTCTGGCCTTAATTTTCTCCCAGTACATGGGTCATCTTGTAAATGTCCTTTGCATACAAAGAGCTTTTACATACATGTAAGTACAACACTGGAGAGGTCTCATGGTATAAATGAGAAGGGTATGAGGGAACTGACAGACATGTCCATTAGCAGTTACGCAGCAGTTGCCTTGGCTTTGGTCCTCCTTCTGTTTCTCACAGCTTTGCTCCCCACTGCTGGGCTTGTCTTTGGGTGCCTGCTACCCAGGAGTTAGACAGAGTTCACCTTTTGAGACTCATCAGCCTATTGCTAGACCAGTACCCAACACTCTACAAGGCCAGAAGAATAAGGGGAGGGATGCTGCTGCCTGGTGAATGGGAGCTGGTTCACCCTCTGTGGTGCAGTTAAGCCAGGGACTTCTTTGGCCCATGGTTAGTACTGCTCAACCTGACCAAGCTGCCAAATAGAGTAGCTCTGACCTCAGTCCCTTAGGGGATACTCCTTTCCTAAGCTGTCTGGCTTCAAACAGTTCCTACAGTGCCACTCATTTAGCTTCTGCAGCCACAACTTCCTCACAGCTCCTCCCTGCGCACGTTCAGAGCCTGGACCTGTGGGTTTGCCCCATATGAATGCAGCTGACAGCTGTAGTTCCCCAACAGGGAAACCATTGTAGCTTGCAAGGCAGGTAGGACTCAGGATGCAAGAGCCTGTCTTCTCTGTCCCCCCCCCCTTCTTCCTCCCTTGCAGAGAAAAGTGATGGGAAGCCATTTTCCCCAACCTTTCCTCCCCTCTCCTAATTGAAGGGGCTGGAGAAACTCCTGCCCAAGGTCTGAAACAGCTCATCAGAGCTGCTGTCTGCCCAGCAGTCAATGGGCTGCTCAGTTGGCTGGAGCCAAGAATATAATCACCTGCTGCTCAGACAGGCTCCCCGGTTGCAGAAGCCCTTGACACTAAAGTCCCCTTGCAAACTAACGAGACAGTTGTTGCAGTGCCTTGCTAAAGGTGTCCCTCCAGGATTTGCCCTTACCTGCTGCTCTCTTTTGCTCCAGAATCTTTGAGGACGTGGTTCCAGCCATCCGGAAGTGGCGGGAAGCGGGGATGAAGATCTATATCTACTCCTCAGGCAGCATTGAAGCCCAGAAGCTTCTGTTTGGATACTCTACAGAAGGTGATATCCTAGAGGTAGATAACCTTATCACCTTCGTTAGAGCTTCTCCTTCTGCAGAGCCCTTCCCTCCTGCAGCTGCCCTTGCCATAACACTCTGTGAATAAGAGTCTGGGGCAGGGGGTTTGACCCATGGGAGTTAAGCTCAGCTAGTCAACTATGCTAGCATGGCTGCATCAGCCCTCTGTTACAGAGGTAGAAAGGAAAGAGGACATCTGTCACGGATAGGGTGTGAGATGCACTTCACTCATGAGAGAGAATCAACAATATACTTTGTTGATACAAAAGAGTGAGTTAACAGAGTTCAATAGTAAATGTGACAGTGGTTTAACAAGATCCGATGGCAAGGCCCACTTGATTACTTACTGCATAGAGCACAGAGTCAGACAAAACTGTCAGGGAGACCCTCCCATTGAGTCACGAGGTTCCGCAAGGACCCCCTTGCTTTCTAAACTCCTTCACAGAGAGGAGTCTAGGTGTGGCTGGATCCAATCCTAGTCCCAGACTTGGTTCATGGTTTAAGGGATTATATATGCACAATCAATTCTTTAGATTGCTTAGGTAAGGTTTCAAAGTTTAGCATTCTATTAAACACTTACTGAGGATCTATTGTGGTAAGGAATCTTGACCTCGATGAGTAACCTTGAGATGTGTCCCTACTCAAGGGGAGATCCTGGCGTGCAGCCCGCTGTCATTTCAGGAGAACCCAATGGGCCCTGGGCTGTCCACTGCTGACAGAATAAGATGATTAATTTATAGTCATATTTGCATACCAGTGAGACATCTGGGTCTCTGTTCCAGATGGCCCTTGGCTACCATATTGCCATCTGTCCCCAAAGTCCATCGTAAGTGGGGTGCGGCCATCACAACCCCCACTGGTGGTTGTGGCTGAAGATGGGGAGGGGAAGGCACAGTGTCATAACATCTTGCTGAGGAGTGAGGTTTAGCCCTGCTCTTCAGGTGCCACTCAGCAACTGTCTTTGCTTTTGTCTCTCTTCCAGCTCTTTGATGGCCACTTTGATACCAAAATAGGCCCCAAGGTAGAAAGTGAGAGCTACAGAAGGATTGCTGCCAGCATTGGGTGCGCCACCAACAACATCCTCTTCCTGACGGATGTCCCTCGAGGTAGGTGCTCTGACAGTCCTGCTGGCTCTCACCTGTCCAAGGGAGACAGGTGTTCTTGAAATGCATGCTGCTGACTTGTCACAAGCACCCCAGAAACACTGCAGACCACTTTGCTTTGGTGGCACCCCCTTAGCTGCTGCCACGCTCCTTCCTTACACATCGAGGCTCTCAGGGAGCAGTGGGATATCTGTGAGCTGGGCTGCTGTGAGGGAAAATAGGTCAAGTAGAAAACCTGCCAATGCACCAGCAAGCAAGGAAAGACTGTTAAAGTGGAGCGAAGCATTTGCTGAAGTGGTCGGTGTGCTGCATTTGCAAACAGGGTCAGTGGTTTTTGTGACCCGTGCTCAGGGGAACAGATGATGTCTGCTGTGCTGCTGCGTGGCACGTGCGGTGGCTGTTTCTTTGTGCCACTTACCATGAGGTTGTGTTCAGCAGCAGGAAAGCATTGCTCCTGGTTGCCAAGACTTGAACCCTGGAAAGCCAGGCTTGGGAGGCTAATTAATTTCTTGTCTTTGCTGGAAACGTCTTTCTGGTAGAAATGGCACTGGGTTGTGCTCTCAGTCTAAGCCAGCTCAGTTCCCAGGAGTCAGCCCTTACCTCCTCCGCAGCCCTGGCAGCAGAGCTGGTGGGAGCTTGCAGGTACCTCCTTTTCCCTGTTACTGTCTTCTTGTGGCCTCCTGCTGTGCTTGCTCAGGGGTATTGGACTCAGGCTAATGCCACAGCCCCACTACAGCCCATCTTCTTTGTGACTGGAATCGAGCTGCCAGTAACCTGCTGCCTGCACGGTGCCTTGGAGAGCCATCAGCTGGGAGAGGGGAGGAGAAGGCAAGGCAGCCAGCTCCAGATCTGCCAGGAGCTGGTCCCTCTTAGAGCCCTGCAGCACCATGTGCAAATGCTGCTCCCTCGGTCTCATTCTTTAAAAGCACCTCAGTGTTTTGGGGCATCTTCAAGCCTGAAAGATCCTCACATGGAGAGGTTGGTAAGCACATCTCATCTTCACTCTCCCCACCTCTGTTTCAGAAGCCAACGCGGCTGAGGAAGCGGATACTCACGTGGCTGTGGTGATCAGACCGGGCAATGCAGGACTGACGGACGATGAGAAATCGTATTACAGCCTCATCTCATCTTTCACCGAACTTTTCCTGCCGTCCTCCACTTAGGGAAAGCAGCGCACGCACAAAAGACTGTGCTTCACCTGAATTGTCCTTGTGTAATGTTAGGTAATTTTGTCCATGATCAGAATTTAAAACCAAACCCACATCATGTCTTGGACCCATGACTAGTGTAGGCAGGTATGGATAAAGAGTACGGTGTGGGGTCCCTTGTGCAGTAGGACAGAGGCCAGCAACAGCCGGCTGGAGCTGGGAATAGAGTGAGGAGCAGCACCCATGAGCCCTGCTGTTCCTCCCCTTTCCCAGCTAACCATTAGCTCAGGGGATGCTTCCTTCAGACTCACTCATTGAAATCTGTTGCTGAGATACCCCACCACAAGCTCCGTTGTTTTTAGACACAGTCTGCAAACAAAGTGTGTGTCCCCCTGTCCCAGAGGGACCTCCAGGAACTATAAGAGGATACAAGCTTCTCCCTGCAGATGGGGTTGCTGGCTAAGTCAAAACTTGCAATGTTAGGGGGGGTTAGGATGCCCAAAGGAAAATGCCAAATGTGGGCTGTAATACAGTAGGTTTGGGCTGCCACAGAAAAAGCCATCCCTTGCTGCAAGCAAAGCTCTTTAGACCAGGAAAAACTTAAATCTTGGCTATATCCACAGCAGGTCTAGGTACAAAACAGTACAACTTGCATAGGGAAGCTGCTTAGAGCTACACAGCCAGAAATAAGTAGAATATTTATAAATACAGATTAAAAATTACATTCTAGACCCACCTCACTGCTGCATCGTGGTGCTGGGCTATGGGATCCAACTGGCTGAATGCAAAAGTCAGCTTGACTGTCTTTCTGAAGTATCTCTCTTATCACTAACCTGTGGAGGTCCTTCTCGGTAGCCAACATCACCCTGTCAGATGTTCATGGCTCTGGTCAGCAGCTGTGAGCAAACTTTGACAAACAGGTGCTCCTGAGGGACACATCCTGCTGCATTTAATGAGAATTAAACCCTGACCTTTTCACCCAGCCCACCTAAATTGTGCCAATCTCTACCAGGTAGTCATGGAGCTTTTCCTAATATAGTATATAAAAACACAAATTTGCTTTCATTGTGTTCACTCCCTCCCAGAATTTAGCCTTCATGTCTATCACCAGTGATCCCAGCACAGAAAGGCAAATTATTTTTTATTTTTCTTTTTTAAACATGTAAACAGTTGGTTTTCCTGCTTTTGTCATCCCTGGTCCTTTCTTTAAGGCAGACAACCTTGTCCTGCCAAGGAAACTGTATGACCTCCCTGACCATCTTACAATTTCAGTGGGAATGCAAGAGGGAGAGCCACAGCTAGGTTATACCTAGTAACAGTGGAGGCAGAGGCAGTCTGACACCACCGTTCCCTGCTGCTGGCACTTTGTGCATGGGTGTCACTTGCTACTTACTCATTTCCGTGTGGCTGCGCTTGAGCTTGCCCTCATGGATGGCCAAAATAGAGTATTAGTGCCCGTGTTGCCTTCCTGAGCTCTGATCTACACCTGTGGCTGTCCCTGTTGAAGGAGGCTGCTGTGTAGAGAACAAGCAAGAGACAGGTATTTTAGGAGGAAACCACATCACTGATTGCCCTTCTAAAATTTGGATGGTAGCAGGTAAGGCTGTGAGGCAGCGAGTCCGGATGCCTTCCTGGCCTGTGTAATGAGTGTTACCCTCCTCCTAGAAAGCCTGCTAATTAGCACTGTTAATAACTGTATCTGCATGGCTGAATAGTCCCTGGCTTCCTTCAGTGTTAATTTTAATCATGACCCTGTAAATACTCACCTTTTGTTTTGCCTTTGCCATCAGAAAGCTATGCATGGGGTAGGGGACAAAAATAAAACTCACTTTCTCCATAAAAGCACTTTATTTAGTGGTCATGTTTCAGTGTGTATCAGTTGTCATTTAGTAGTACTGAAATGTGCTGTTAGAAATCCTCTACGAAATGTAGAGTTATCACCAAAAACCTGAAGTTCAGTTTGGATTGCATACAGGAAAAAGAGAAAGGAAAAAAAAAATAAATCACAAACAATCTTTTTTTCTTTTTTCCTTTGATAAAATTACAAAATACAAAATGATAAACTGAAAGTATTAATTGAATTTTAAAAAAACCTCACAGTGGACTATTTACAGGAAAATACACTTAAAACTAATCACTACTTTGTGCTCCATATGCATTGAGTGTGTCTGCACGTGTAAGAGGATCTCCACCTGCTTCTTCTCCAGGCTGTTCCCTCCTGCCCTCGCCCAGAAGGAGCTTCCCCAGATGAGCTGCTGTGCCCTTGGGCCACCCTGGGGAGCCCTGTGCCTTACACTGCTGCACCCTTGGGCACCCTCAGCACCTCCCTCCAGGAAAACTTCCCGCTAATGACACAGCTACAAGGAAGGGAACTTCAGCAGTCCAACAACAACCCTCCGTTGGCTGGAGGTGCTCTGGGTTTATAACAGCTGCCCAAGAACAAATTTTGGCCCACGGAAGATAAAAGTAAAGGGCTGGCTGAAAGCTTTCTACTTACACTGGTTTTGACAGAAGTTTTTCTCTACTGCTTCTCCTTTCAGGAGAGGCCCCTGACCTTTGCAGAAGACTGAACACCCCCATGCCTTTTCTCTCTCTGTCAGAAATGCCACGGTGTGCTACGAGTTCCCCTTCAAATGCCTTTTGCCACCATTTTAATTTCTGCTTATTTTCCTGCAGCTCAGACAAGATGCAAACCGAAGCTGAGCATGACTCGTGGAGGAAAAAAGGAACAAACTCAAACCCGATGCCCAGAACCACCTCTGCAACGACTCTGTTCTCATTGCAAGCAAGCCCAGTGTCTCTAACAAAACGTTTTCCCACTCAGTGAACAAACAAAACAAAACAAAACAGAGCTTTGAAATATTACAGGATATGTGGTGGGAGCACTAGACACAAAGAGCAGCCTTTTCTCCATCATCTGGCATTTCCATCTTAATTCAGCACCTTGCATCACCCCGCTGTGCCATCTCCTCTGGCTTGGGACAGTCTGCTGAGCTACAAGGCAGCATCAGCCAAGTCTCACCTCCTGCTCACACTTTCTCCCAAACCTGGTGTTACCATCAGCTGCTTTCCAGGCTAGAAGAAATGCCTGCCTGCTCACCACAAAAGCCAGTCAGTTGGGGTCTTCCATTGCCCAATTCCAAGTCCAGAAGAAAGAGCTGCTCTTTCTCACCCTACCAAGTTACACCAGTTGGCAGCAGAGAAAACAATGCAAGAAACGTCCGAAAGATACAGTCTGGTGACTCGGGAACCGGCAACTCCTGAAGATTCTTGGTTCCTGGAGAAGTCCATCTCCTTCATCTCCTCCTCTGCAGAACAGGCTGAGGAGTGCCTGTCTCAGAGGGGCATCGTGAGGACTGGCTGTTGAACATGTTGAACAAGAGGAACGTGACAGAGCGACTCAGAAAGAGTCAGTGGTAGCACAAACTAACCAGCTTGTGCTCTCTCGTGCTGCTGCTGAGAAGGATCCACCCCTCTTCCAGCAGACAGCAATTTTTGTTTGGCTTTTAATGAGACAGCCACCCTCTGAGCCCTTTGGCAATACGATCATGATTGCACATGAAAACAAACTCATCAAAAAAGTGTAAATGAGGTTATGTTTAACCCATGAGACCACACCTGCCCCCCTCCCCCCTGCCAGAGGACAGGCTACACCTGATCTGTCTGGTACTCGGAGGCTTCCGATAAGCTTTCAGAAAAGCTCAGAAAATTTTCCTGGTACTCAGAGCAAACAATCTCAAATCTGTAGTGCCTGAACTCCACTGCAAAGGTGCCAAAGTAGCAGAGGAAGCACATCACCAGGCCCCACTGGATCCTGGAAGCATACATGTGGATGCCCTGCGCCATGAGGATGAAATCTGGAAGAGGAAAGTCAAGGAGAACTAGTGGGAGCAGAGACACTGATCAGCATGAGAGAAAGACAACAGGGAAGACAATCAAATATTAACAATCAAAGCCACCCAGGTGACACTCAACCCAGCCAGCCATCATCAGGAGAACATGAATGTGGTGCCATGTCACGTGTCCAACAATGCCCATGGAGCGCAGCAGCTCTCCTATATGGACCAGGGCTTCCTGATCCAAGTTCAGGCTGATAAACACTTACAGAGGGAATGACTTAGGTGAAGAGAAGTCAATGACTTGCTTGAACATCCAACTAGCCAGTGACAGAGCCAGCAAGCTGGGGATCTGGCTGTGGGATGTTCCTGCCAGGAGCCTCCCTGCAGAAACTGGATCAGATCTCTGCACTGCAGACAATGGGAACACCTTTCAACCTACACTCTGCAATCTTTCATTCTCTTTAGATCACCTGCAAAATCATCCCTTTCTGTGAGGAGAAGGGATGGAGAGCAGCCCTGAGGAGAAGGACTTGGGGTGCTGGTGGATGAGAACCTCAACCTGAGCCTGCAACGTCCGCTCACAGCCCAGAGGCCAATAACCGTGTCCTGGGCTGCACCCAGAGCAGCGTGGGCAGCAGGTCGAGGGAGGGGATTCTGCCCCTCTGCTCTGCTCTCCTGAGACCCCTCCTGCAGTGCTGCCTCCAGTTCTGGGGCCCCCAACATCAGAAGGACATGGACCTACTGGAGCGAGTCCAGAGGAGGCCACAAGGATGATCTATGGGCTGGAGCACCTCTGCTGTGAGGACAGGCTGAGAGAGTTGGGGCTGTTCATCCTGGAGAAGAGAAGGCTCTGGGGAGACCTTCTAGTGGCCTTCCAGTACCTGAATGGGCCTACAAGAAAGCTGGGGAGGGACTTGTCACAAGGGCAGGGAGTGATAGAACAAGGGGAAATGGCTTTAAACTGGAAGAGGGGAGATTTAGATGAGAGATAAGGAAGAAATCTTTCCTGTGAGGGTGGTGAGACACTGGCCCAGGTTGCCCAGAAAAGCTGTGGCAGCCCCCTCCCTGGAAGTGTTCAAGGCCAGGCTGGATGAGGCTTTGAGCAACCTGCTCTAGTGGAAGGTGTCCCTGCTGGTGGCAGGGGGGGTGGAACTGGATGAGCTTTAAAGTCCCTTCGAGCCCAGACCATTCCGTGATTCTGTGAAAGCCAGAAGCATCAGTGTACACAGTGTGGCACCTTATACTGCAAGGAAAAATAA